TAAACCTGCTCAGTAACCATCCAAAGTGACTTAGATCAAAGGCATATTTATATTTATGGGAAAGGGAAGAGAGGGCCAAGAGATTTGTAGCTCAGGGTTGAACTGAGGGGGTCATTGGTTCTGTCAGAGCTTGGCTGTTTCCTGGCAGATGTTTCATTACCTAACGAGATAACGTCATCAATCCTCCCTGTAGCACTGATAACGGTACCTACTTAAAGTAGGTAATGAAATGTCTGCAAGGGGGAAAAAACCAGGCTCAGAGAATACCAAGAACCCCTCGGTTCAGTCCTGAGCTCCAAATGTTCTACTTTACTGAAGATGTTTATCTAATAAGACCGCTGCTTTGGGTGGGGAATGGCAAACCATGATCATAAACTGGGGAAGATTAAAATTATAATCTCTGTAAGGTGGAATGTCCGGAACATATCATTAGGCAAGGGAAATTAGGAAAAAGTGAGTGGAGGATAATCATATTAGCTATATTTAATTTGAACTAAGCTTAAAGGTAAGTACAGGCAAGTCCTTGACTTTTAGCCCTTCATTTAGCAACTGTTCAAAATTACAGGTGGCATTGAAAAAAGTAATTTATGACAATCATTGCAATGCCCCTACAGTCCAAAATTCAGGCACTTGACATATGTTTATGACAGTTATGGTGTCCTGAGGCCACGTGATCTCCATTTGCGACCTTCCCAGCTGCTTTCCAGCAAACAAAGTTAATGGGGGGAGGGGGGAACTGGATTCGCTTAACGACCATGTGGTTCAACTTAATACCCAGGTGATTCACTTAACCATCATGGCAAAAAGGTTGTAAAATTGGGTGTAACTTACTTAACAACCACCTTGCTTAACAATGGCAGTTCCGAAGACGACATATACAGGTAGTCCTCGACTTAACAACAGTTCATTTAGTGACCATTCAAAGTTACGACGACACTGAAAAAAGTGAGCTATGACCATTTTTCACACATATATATGACCCTTGTAGCATCCCCATGGTCACGTGATTTATATTCGGATGCTTGATAACTGATTCACATTTATGACGATTGGAGTGTCCCAGGGTCATGTGATCCCTTTTTGCAACTTTCTGACAAGCAAAGTCAATGGAGAAACCAGATTCACTTAACAACATGTATTACTAATTTAACAACTGCAGTGGTTCATGTAACAATTGTGGCAAGAAAGGTCGTAAAATGGGGCAAAACTCACTTAACAAATTTCTCGCTTTTAACCACATAAATTTTGGGGTAAATTGTGGTCGTAAGTTGAGGACTACCTGTGTGTGCAGTGCTTGCTCAGACAGAAACTCCAGGTACTTTTCCTTGATTTCCTGACAGCTCAAACCTCATTTTTGAAGTTTCTGAGAGCTAAAAAGAATCCAGTCTGTAAACCCAAATGGATCAGGGAATAATTCCCAGGATTTTTATTCCATCTGAGGAGAAAGTGAGGTGGATTGTAGGGTTATTAGTTGTTTTATGCATCCTTATTCCCTTGTTTTCTTTACAAACCAGAATTGCAGATAACATCAGGCAAAGCTGTGAAAAGATTTTCTAAAATACTTTTTAGAAAACCTCAGAGCATCAGCGTGCATGATCATTTTCTTTTTTTAATCTTTCTGGGGAATTGGCTACCCAGCATGACTTGGCACTATTTCTAGGTTATTTCTGAAAAGGAAGTAAGGATTTTAAGTATATAACACTGGAAGATTGGTAAATATGGACTCCTTGAATCGGTGAACAATAGCTGATGAAGAGCTAGGTGGATGCCAATGTGGCTCCCGTGCTTTTAAGAGTACTCCCTACCATCACCAAGCAGGACACAAAGAAGTGTGAATACACACTCAAGGTGGTTTTGCACCAACTTTCTCATTGCTTGCTTAGAGAGAAATGCTCAGGCAACTTTCTAACAAATATATAGTTAGAAATTGTAATTGCTGGTGGAAATCAACCAGTCAAACTTCTCTGGGAAGTAGCGGGGCAGCGGACAGATTTTTTTTATTAAGGAAAAATAGCCCACCTCTTTAGTGTTGGTAGCAAGCACCTATATATCAACCAATCAGAATAGATCTGGAAGGGACCTTGGAGGTCTCTCTGAAGGGAAAAGAGCCTAGTGGTTACATCCAGACCTGGATGCCAACAAGACCAGGAAAGGGAAGATTGACAGCTTACTTCCTTGTCTGAAAAGGTGGCTTCTGCTAAGATGATTTCCTAAGACTTGTGTAACTCTTGCTTGCTCACCCATCCCTTTCTCGCACATGTATACAGGCAGAGTCTGCAACTTAGCCTTTCTGACCTGCTTCTCTTTCCTTTCCTTTGCTGTAACTCACCCTCCTTTGCAAGTAATTCCACCCGCCCCATTAGCAAGAAGGGTGGTGACCTTATTGCATGCCCCCACACACACACACACAAATACGGAGGCAGAGACACACGTATAAAAAGGAAGGAAGGATGCTTCTTCAATCATCGCTGTCACCTTGTCCAGCAGGACAGAAAAAGACATTCACCAGACAGGTAAGCCTTCCAGTGGTGGGGTTTTGAATGACAAGTATGGGTTAGAAATTTGGATAAGCTGGACATTTGGATGCTGTAAGAACTGTTTTTTTATTTTGCAATAGATCATGGATGATCACCTTTCTAATGGGGAAGGTTTTAAATTTCTGGCTATTTTTAGTGGTGATCAAGGCAGTTTGCACTCTATGGTTTACTAAGAAAATAAATGGTACTCAATATCACTCCAAGGACCCATCAATTTTCATAGCCTCTTTCTGAGAATGATGTACAGCCGCTTTAGTATAGTAGTTAAGGTGCTGACCTAGAAACCAGGACACTGTGAGTTCTAATCCTGACTTAGTCATGAAAACCAAATGGGTAACTTTGAGCCTCTCAATAACTTAAGTAAGAAAGGCAGTATAAAACTTAAAGAAATAAATATATCCAACCCTCCTTGATTTACAGAAATGAGGCATTAAAGCGATGAAATAAATAAGGGAAGGGAAGGAAGGAATCAAATCTTGATGTATAGAAATAGCAGAATAATAGAACAGAATAATAGAGCTGTAAGGCACCTTGGAAATCATCCAGTCCAACCCCCTGCACAAGCAGGAGATGCTATACCATTTCAGACAAATGATTATCCAGTCTCTTCTCGAAAGCCTCTAGTGATGGGCACTCACAATTTCTGAAGACAACCCATTGCACTGGTTCATTGTTCTCACCATTAGGAAATTTCTCCTTAGTTCCAGTTTGCTTCTCTCCTTGATTACTTTCCATCCGTTAATTCTTGTCTTGCCTTCTGATGCTTTGGAAAATAGGTTGACCCCCCTTTTCTTTGTGGCAGCCCCTCAGATATTGGAACACTGCTATCAAATAAGGCATGAAAGCAATCTCATTTTTCCTGTCGCTTTTTTTGAACATAAAAATGTTAAGAGCACAATGATACCAAAAAAAAGAGAGAAGCTTCATTTAGCAACTGATGAATTGGTTTCCTGTAAATTTGTCTCATATGTTTGTTATCACATCTCGTGGTAAAGAGGTCTGTAAGTTAATTAGGCCTCAGCACTGTTATCATTCATCATATCCTATGCGCTTATCTTTGCGTTGTTGCTTTTTTAAAGTTTCAGATTATACATTACTCAGTCCTAAAAGTTTTCTGGTGTGTACAGAAATTTCTCCTCTGTTGCAACATGTATGACAACTCCTTATCAATGGTCTCATCATCACACGTTCTTTGTTGTTACATAAGTGTTTGCTTTGTGCTGTGAAAGTCGGTTGTGGCTTCTGGTGGTGCCCAATACAAATGCACGTGTGAAATCATGCGCTCAATCATAGATTACTTCTTTCAAAATTTGGCAACCAAAATACTACACCCAAAACATTCTGCTGTTTATCTGGCCGCTCTGGTGCCAGAACTGAATGTTGGGCCATGAGAACTGATTATATGGGCATCCTATATTGTTTATATACATCCTTTTTGTTTATAGCTGCATCAGCAGCCCATGAAGCCTCTTTCATATTTTAAAAGAAAACCAACAATTGCAAAGAACAATTCTAGAACTCAGCATTGTTATGGGGAGTAATTTGAAATAATTTTAATTTTAAAGATTTAAAACAACTGCAGGAAAGAATTCAGCAGATTGTTCAGCCATTAGGTTTACAAAGTATAGGTTCATAAACTTGATATAATGTCTAATTTATACGATGATTGTTATGATTAATCAGGCACTAAGACTGAGATTGATTTTTCTTTTGAACAAAAGTTCAGCTCATGCTTAGGTTCTCATAAATGCTTTTCTCTCTCTCTCTCTCTCTCTCTCCCTCCCTCCCTCCCTCCCTCTCTCCATCCCCATCCCCATATATCTATCCATATCTATATCACCCATATCCATCCAAATTCTCTTTTGCCACAATCGTGACACTTCCATTTTGATGGTCTCATGGAAGTAATTATTATACTACTATGTTTATATATACTACTATTCTTATTATACTACTAACTACCACTTGTTTATATCACTAATATTATTACTACTATTATTGCTAAGTAATTGGTATTATAGTACATGTCAGTGTTTTTTTAATGTTGCCTACTTGAAGACATATGGACTTCAATGCCCAGAATTCTAGAAGGTTGGGGAATTCTGGGTGTTGAAGTCCATACATCTTCAAGCTGGCCAGGAAAAAAGAAACACTGGTTCATATACCTCTACTGACAATTATAATAGCACTTAGACTTATATGCCACCACATAGTGCTTTACAAATGTCTGGTCAGTTTACAATGTCAGAATATTGACCCCATTAATCTGTGTCCTCATTTTACTGACCTGGGAAGGATGAAAGCCTGAATCAACTTTGAGCCTGTAAGGATCAAACTCCAGGCTGTGGGCAGAGTTAGCCTGCAATGCTGCATTCTAACCACTGCACCACCTGGGCTCTTATTCCTAAAGTTCGCCGTTTGGATTAATCAATCAGCTTGCACTTTTTCCTATAGCTGGACAAAATCCTGTTCCATGGATTCTCTCAAGATACTCACAACCCTTACGGTGGTCTTTTGGCTTCCAAGTGGATGTTATGCCAGTTCTGAAGGTAATGCCACCCTACTTAGGAAGCGCCTTGCTGGGGAGGAGGGCCAGAAAATGAAAGACCAGAAAATTCTTCCAGGGTACAACTAAATATTCTTTGGATGGATTTGGTTCGCCAACATTTAAAAGCTAACAAGGTTGAGCCTAGGTGGGAAATGCTAGATTGGAGATGAGTTGGGAAAAAATCAGGGACTAAACACTTTGGAGGTCACAAAAACTACATGGAAGTTAAAAGAATTATAGCTGGATTCAAGACAATCCGGAGAGATGCAAAGAATCCAGAGCATGTGTTAAGTTGCAGTTCAGATTTCATGCCCAGGCCTAACACAAGAATCCAATCCACTAAATTCAGCCCTAAATTGGCACCAGAACAGAATTCAGGAAGGGTTGGACTTAAGCTTGATTTTGACTTGTCCGCAACTATGAATAGATGTCAACACACAACTATGTTGTGAAAGGTTTGATGGACAAAGCGTAGGCTGCAGATAATTTCAGACAGCTCAATGCGTGCGTGTCCCGAATCCCAAATGTGTGGAAATGCACACCCTGCACGCTGATTGGTAGAACTGACTTCCTGTTGGGAGGTGGGTGAAAGGCAGGCAAATTCAAATGACGTTAACATTCAAAGAAGTACAGATGGTCCTCGACTTATGATGGTTCATTTAGTGACCGTTCAAGATTACAATGGGACTGGAAAAAAAGACCTTGAGCCGTTTTCCACACTTATGACCATTGCAGCTTTCCCATGGTCACACAATCAAAATTTAGACACTCAGCAAAAGAATAAGAATAGAAAGAATAGTATAGCATAGCATAACTATAGAATAGAATAGAATAGAATAGAATAGAATAGAATAGAATAGAATAGAATA